CATTCGCCAAAGTACATGATAATTCTAGAAACGTTGCGTCACGTGGTCATGTGACTCGCTGACGCAACAATATGATTTCCCCAACAGTAGTTCGTAAATTTAGTTACACTTACAGTAAACTGGGTAATTTTCGCTGCTTTTCAAGTCAAATTTGCACAAGATATCGAGTGCCAAAATTTCTGTGTATTTACAACTGTAAAAGGGAATCTCTCAATAGGCCTAGTGTTTTGCCTTACATTACTTTTGCTAAAAGTAAAAGATTCTCTTTCGTAAATATAAAATTATTACGCATGATGGCATCATCAGAAAGTGAAGATTTACCGGATAGTGATAAAAGTAAGGTTTAATTTTTAAACAATCTTGAAATAGCTTATTTATGTCAAATTATGAAGCTATGGTGGCCTAACCTTTTACATCTTTTGAAGTATTGTTAGTCTTAAGATAATGAATTTAATACTGCAGTATGGTACTTATTTGTACGTGTGTAAGGAAGCACATTATTATGTATTATTATAATTATTATTACTGTATACTACATTATACAGTAGTATCAGAAAATTAACAATGATTACTTGTTAATTTATTGATATTGCATAGTACCTTGTAATACATTATTTTGAAGTTTTATGTTGAAGACATGAAAGTATTTTAAAATTTACTTGTTGCTTATTTGTTCATGGTTTCAGGAAGTGTGGAGAAAATGCATAGGAAAAAATTTTATAAGTCAGGGAAATTTGATACTTAACCACTAATATAAGAAGAGTCACAGAATTTTACAAAATGGTTTTGTTTATTTGTTTTGGTTATATAACTGACTGGTGATTTATGTATTTTTGTTATGTATTATGTATTTCTGATTGATGCATTGCTAATGATTAAGTCATTATGAACATATGGTTTGAGCACCACCCGAGAAGAAGGTATACATGGAAAAGTCTTAGAGATGATGTTAGAAACCAAATTGGTTATATCACCATCAATAGAAGATTCAGGAATGCAGTACAACAGTCAAAAATGTACCCAGGGGCTGATTGCGGGAGCATGCATCATCTAGGTTAAGGTTGAGGAAACTTAAGAAGCCAGAAGCGAAAAAGAAGCTTGATTATACAGCTCTAATTGAAAAAAAATACAATTAAAGAAAGATGTACAGATACAGTTAAAAACTGTTTTCAAAGACATAAATATGAAGGAAATATAATGGGAAATTTTTAAAGAAGCACTAGTTGAAACAACCAAGGAGTTTATTCCATTAGAATTAAGGCAAAAGAAACAGAAATGGATGATGGAGGAAGTCCTTGAGCTCATGGAAGATAGAAGGAAGATGAAACCCATAGTATGGAAGAGTATAATAAACTTGGCAGAAGAATTTGATCAGTGTGCAATGAAGAAAAGGAAAATGACTTAATGAAAAGTGTACAGAAATAGAAAAACAAAAGGATAAAGATGTTACATCAGTGTATAGGAATATCAAAGACATCACAGGTAAAGGAGGATGCACTGCTAGCGGATGTATAAAAGCTAAGAATGGTGATGTAATTATGGAACAAGAACAAGTAAAGTTATGAAAATGATGAAATACCTGTGGATCTCAAATCAATCTTTATTGTACTCTCCAAAAGACCTGGAGCCATTGAATGTGAACACCATTGAACCATCAGTTTAATGAACCACGTAACAAAGATTCTATTAAAGGTGTTGATGATGAAAGCTGGAATTAGAATATAACTGGAGATTGCAAAAGTTCAGTGAAGATTGTGGTATACAAGAAATGCTATCTTCATAGTACAATTTTTTTCTGAGATGGCAGAAGCATTGAAGGACCTTTTCTTGTGTTTCATTGATTATACTAAAGCTTTTGATAGAGTCAAACATGAGAGTTAACGAAAAAGCTAGAAGAACTGTACACTAATTGTAAAGACTTGAGAATTTTAAGAAACCTCTTTTGGGAGCAAACTGCAGCAGTGAGGATAGAAAATGAGTTAAGTAATGTAATCCAAATTAAGAGAGACATAAGGCAATGCTGTATCTTTTCACCTGACTTGTTTATTTTGTACAGTGAGAAAACCCTGAGAGAGATTGAAGCTTTACCAGGGCTTTTCCTTGGCAGACAGGATTATTTTGATGACACACTTTTAATAGCTGATTCAGAATAGAAGCTGCAAAAAATTTTAGATAAAGTTGTTAGTGAAAATGAAAAGCAGGGTCTAATTGAGGAAAACAGAATGCATGATAATTCCTGTGTACATTGTCAAAGTATTTACAAATCATATGTAGTGTAGTTTAGTTGTGAATTGGTGATTGTTGTACTATTGTGTCATGTTACTAGAACCTTCTGAGTTTTTTGTTATTTTAATTGAGTATTATTGCATCCTAATATCTAGTAGTGTGGAATGTTCTAGACCTCTGTCGGGGGATAAATATACGTTGGAAGTTTAGTTCGAAAGATAGATAGATCTAGACTGCATGATTGTGAGTTTATGGTTATAAAGAGTGTATAGTGGTAATTTTAAGATGAAATTATTACAGACTGTATTGTAATAACAGTGCATGAAGAATAATTTGTCTGTCAAATTGTGTTCTAAAGTAAGTGAACCAGCCTGTGTGGACTTTGACAAAAAGAGACAATTATTTAAAGCTCTGGATACAACTGTGGTAACCAAAAGTGTAGCAAATATTTGTATAGACATTTCACTTGTTTTAATATATTATTTTAAAACAAGTGGACTGTGAAATTTGTTGCCAGCAAGTCACAAACACCCACTGTAAAGAATCTGGCCTATGCATACAAAACCTGACACCACGGAAGACAGATGTTGACTTATATTAAGTGTCTATCTAAATGGATGAATGTATCAACATTGGAAATTCTTTGTGCTTCAAGGAGAAGAGTTCTGTAGAAGACCATGGTCACAAACATCCTGTGTGGATATGGTACATAGAGAGAGAGTCCATTAAGTTTCAAACTACTATAATCACAACTGGCATTAATGTTTAAACAAAGAGAAGTAAATTGTTTTTGGCTTTGAGAACACTAATTTCATTTTAATTATTCTTGTTTTATGGCACATGTTTTCTCTAACTACTTCCACTATTAACCTTCCACACAGTCTTTGAAATCTCCAGCTCAGGTTCAAGATTCAGACTCGTTTTAAAGTTGGCCAATCAAAATGGAAAATGCATATCCGTATGCTTGTCATACATTCCTCAGACAAAAATCTTAAGATTGTTGTATAATCTTTAGCATAAAATCTTTCTCTGAAGTTTATTGTGCTTTTTAGAATGAGCAAACCTATATATACTGATAAATTACTTGGTTGCTGAAGATAGCAATAGCTACCTTGCCTTTCTACTTTGTCAGAGTGGGTAACTTTTGGCTGATTTATTATTCTCACCTTATTGACATTTCTACACAGCTAACTTGCTTCTATATCAAGCCAAGTTAATCAGAACTTCTATCAACATTAGTCATAACTTTTATAACATTCTGTAAATGGCTTGTTCCACCAATATCCTCTTCCAAGAAGAAAAACTTCACTCCATACAGAGAATCTAAGATGTTTGGAGCCATGTGAATTGAATTATAAATTATAGGACTTTAAGGGAATTTTTGGCACAATAAGGCTGTCCTGACTTCATTCTCCTTCAAAACCAATCACTAAATCCAGTTCTGATTCCCAAATTTTCATTAAATTATGTAAAGTTGCAGTCTCTGCCATTCTAGATGGTAGTTTGTTCCACAGGTTTACCACACTTTGTCTCAACTGGAAATGTGTAACCTTTCCAAATCTTAAACTTATGACTTTTTGTCTTATTGCCCTCAGAATTTAACACAAAAGTCTAATGTATCAATCTTATCTTTTCCTTAATAATTTTTGATACTTTAGTTAGATAACCCCGGCTTATGTTTTCAATAGAGAGCAAATAATATATTTCAAACTACCTTCATATTACATATTTTAAAACATGTAAAACAAAACATTATTTTATATAAAAAAAAAAGGAACATTGTCATGATTTCAGGTCATGTTCATTGTGTAGAATAAGTATATGATTTTCTCATAGACTGTGAGAGCCTTGGAAGCAGATCTGATATGGACCACACAAGGCATGATGGAGTTCCATGTGTTTTTTTTTTTTGACAGTGTTAAAAGTTGCACTCATTTCTTCCTTCTATGACTGATGTTTGTGAACAGTGCAATTAGAAAATGAAAAAATTTGAATGCTTTATTCTTTGCATTGCATTATGATCATAGAGCATGTTTTTAGCTTCATGATGATGTCTTTAAGAAGGTTCAGGGTATGAATGGTGCAACTGAAGAATGCTATTTAATGGTATGGGTAGCTATTAGTGGCATTGTTTAGCTCCATTTTTGTAATGACTAAATATTTTTAACTGTGGTATATACTGGTGTTTATCTTTAATTGTACTGATGGTTTTGTAGACAATTGGTGTTGGTATGATAATTAAGGTACTCTAACTATCCCACTGAAGACACAGTAAGCAAACATCTGCCACTTTTAGTTAGCCTTATGTGACAATAACTTTTTTAACTTTTGCATTTGTTAGAGGAGTTGTCAGTTGATATCTGATTGTGAGTTGTACAGCTAGTACGTGTACTTGAAAGCAACTGAACAGAATAAACTTTTTGGGTTGTGTTCAGCAGCATATTTCTTGCTGGAAAATCCAATGCTGCTGTGTTGTTATAAACTCAACAAACATTCTCATCTTATAACTTGAATGATATGAAATTAGTGAAGTATGTTGATCTAAACAATGGCAAGGCTCTGTTGTACTGATAAGCATAATTCTTTGTTTTTTTGTCCCTTAACATTGGAACATTTGCCAGTTTTCATGCTAAAAAAATGACTTAACCAAACTTGCACAGGTTCAATTCATTGGACTAACCCCATATTAGAGAAGGAATGTTGACTATAATTCTTAATTTACTACTGTATATGAATGAAATGTGGTAAGCTTTGAGTAAAATGTATAAGTCTGTTGTACACAAAAAAATCAGATGTGTTACAAAACTCTATGTACTCAAGATTAGAGCTGGGGAATTAGTGGTATTTGATAATTGATTAACTGATGAGCTCATTATTCAATTAAATTTGATTGTTCAGTTAGTACACAAAGTCCCCTACAGTTCATACAAGCAAAACAAAAAAAAAGACCAAAGGAATGTGCTATTGTCCTAACTTTTTCAACCACTACATTATCATAACATGGTATTAATTTTACATTGATTTGTTTTTTAAAAGTAATATTTGAACAACACGTGATTTCATATGATAGACATCTTCTGAAGGTTTCTATTTGCATATTTATGGAAAAT